CTCGTGACTAAACGTACAAATCATGAACTTTAAAGTGTTATTCAGCTGCTCCACCAACCCATCAGTCTGAGGGTGGTACATACTGGTCCGAACAGATTTACAGAATGGTGTGCCCTGGTCATTCAGTATCTATTTGAGGATCTGAAACACCGCCTGCCCCACACTTATTGCAGAAATGGTGCATAGCAGCACTGCTTCAAGATACCGTGTAGCGTAATCGACCACAACTAGTACAAAGCCTTATTCCCATGCACTCCAGTGAAATGGCCCAATGAGGACCATACCTATGCGCTCAAAAGGGACCTCTATTAATGTCAGTGAGTGCAAAGGAACTTTGGGAATGGCTGGCTGGTTAACCAGCTGAAACTCCAGGCAGAATGCGCACCATTGGCGCACATCCGCTAGGATGACCGGCCAATAAAATCAGGCCATTATCTGCTCCAGAGTTTGTTTTTTTGCTTTTGTTTTTGTTTTTAAACTTTATTTAACAAACAATGAGTATACAACATACGAACAGATGAAGTATACAAAACAACAGAACATGAACACAAAAAGCCAGGGGTAAAAGAAAAAAGTAACAATTATAAGAATACACGCAAAAAATTCACATACATATATTGTTTTGAGAGCCTTTTTGTTGGTGGAGTCTGATATTGATTGTATGTACATTTCCACATCCTTAAAAAAATGACAGAAATATGGTGTTTTGTTAGTAAACTTACATTTATGGATAAAAAATTTCTGCTCCAGAGTTTTATCATATCCCATGTGACCGGCCATTGGGTTTTAATGAGTCGCCTGGAAAATTCATTTCCCGGGGTCTTTTAGGCACCAACCAGCCTCCCCTGTCACCACACCCTGAATCCGCTGCTCCACCCCTCCCCTGAACTGAGCCACAAACCACACCCCACGACACCCTAGTTTTATTTGTGGTTTGTTGGATATGTAAAGGTTGAATGAGAGGCAAAGCCTTCAGCTTTCAGGGCCCTCCTCTGTGGAAACAGCTCCCAGTTTGGATTCAATACACATACACCCCGACTCCTTTTTAAGATTCTTCAACTTCAAACTTTCCTTTTTGATAAAGCTTACAGCTAGGGCTGGATCAGAGGACCCTGAAGCCAGCCACCTAAGCCTGAATTGAATGTTAATATTGAAATAGTCCATTAAAGAATCATAGGATCATACTACTACTGGTTGAAATTTTGGCTATTAAATACTGTAACGACGTGAAGCTCTTATTTTGAAATAGTTGACCCGGAAATAGCTAGCCAGTTGGAGTGGAGCAGTGCCAGCGGCGGTCCTCACCCTGCCTTCTGTTTCTCGTCGCCTGTCACAGCCTTTGAGCAGCGTTCAAGCTCGGACAGACAGCAGTCCAATCAACGCTGCGGGGGAACTCGTTAGCTGGTCTGGTGGCACTTCCACGCACTGAGATGCCAGGAAAGTCGCGCTTCAGCAGTAGAGCTCGTCGAGGCTTTCGCTGTGATTTTTGAGAAGCATCTCTGTGAAAGATAGTACAGTTTGTCACCGTTAGCCGGCTGCACAGGTAAGAACAAATGGCAATTACACAAGCAGAGGCGGTTAAAGCCCTGCAACCGCCAGCACTCAGTGTCACCTGCATATATGAGGTATTCTCTGTTATCTTTGTGCTTCACATTATTAATATCCAGATGCTTATTATGTTGAGATTTTATTCATGATGCTGATGGTAGATATCAGGAATTAGCTATGTTATTAGAGCTTACAGCACAATCACGCTCTTTGATACAGATTTTTACCGGCAAAGACAGAAATTGCAATTGCATTTAAATGAATGCCACCCATCTACCAGTGATAATAATATTGGTATTCAGTTTACCTAATTTTAAAAAAAAATCCTCCAAACTTGATTGTTATTTTTGGAGATCTTTCTTCCAAACATAGTGACAAATACTACTTGTGCTGCATGTTGTGTTGGTTTGGAACAAAGAGATGTTCACAGGTGAGACAGGTTTTCACCAACTCTGCTGCTGTTAACATGATAAGTAAGCCACAAGGGAAAGCGGGAGAAAACAATGGTACACATGATGTATAGCATGAGATTGTCATGCAGACCTTCTCTCACAGCTTCTCGCCTTCATTTAAAACTGAGCAGAAGTTTTAGGTACTACAAGTAAAATAAGGCTTCATACACTTCATACAAAGAACATCAGTTGTTTCATGAGGAAAATAATTAGACAATACAAAAAATCCAAGGTGCTGTCTTCGCATGTCTTTTTTAAGAAGCAGCTAGGACACTCTAACTTACAAGACAGAAGTGTTTGCAGCATATTCTGAAAAATCTTTACATGAAAAACCTTATTTTTCAATCACCTATCTCGCATAACTTTTACCATAATCTAAATGTATTTATTTAAATAAAAATATAAGCAGCATCCCAAAGTAAATGAGTGTAATAACGTGCCATTCCACGTCATTACACTCATTTACTTCATTACATAAGTTAAGTAAAGATAGCTTGAGTTCCATTCACAAGTTTTCCTGCGCACAGTGATAGTCACCATCCCACTAACTCACTTAACTCTAGACGTTGCTAATGTAGCATTGGACTAAACTGTAATCATAATATTAGAAATGTAGAAACACTTAGAATAGCCCTTTACTGTCATTGTATCTATTCTGGAATAACTTGGTATAATCCATCATACATAACAGTTCAGTTAACATCCAGACTCTGCTACTGCAAACACTGACACGCCCACTCAGAAAAGGATTAATGGACTGTTAACTGTATTTCATGACATGCAGCTACATACATAACTACTCAATGTGACAGGGCTTTGTTTGTTGCTATTGCCGTTTCTCACCACATACACCGTCATGGCATCAAATGCCCACACAAGTACAGGAAAATTATACTTTTAGGCAGTGCTTAATTAATCTGAAAAATCTGTTAAGGTGAGGTTTATATTGAATTTCAATGTATAAAAAAAATCATTTTTTAACTCTTCAGTTTGAAATTATGGATTTACATTACCTAAAAGCCAAACAGATGTAGATCCACACACATGCACAGTAACTTAGAGGCTATAGCCAGACATGTTTATAGCACGGTAAAATTGTCATTAGCTGCAAATGATTTTAACATGCAGAGCATTAGCTGAACATTGTGCCCTAGCTGTCTGCTGCCTTGACCTGATTGTACATCCTTAGCAAACTGGAGACTGCCGCCACTGTGAGAATGAAATATGGGACATCCCAGGTCAACCTAAAAAAAGGGTGACCATGTGATGCATTTCCTCCTCCATAGTTTCTTATTTCTATTCATAAGTAAGTAGGGCACCAGTAAGACGCTTGGATAACTCCAATCAGCAGTGTTTGTTCAGTAGTACAACCATGCATATCAACATGTTACATATGCCTAGATTATTTTCAAGTCAAATCAAATTTATTTATAGATGTTTAAAAACAACTGGAGTTTACTAAGTCGTGATGTAAGTGTTACAGGATAGACAGTATCAGGAATTTGCTCCGGAAATCAAGACAAAAAAAAACAACAACAATCTTTTGCTTCATTTTAACAGTCTAAATTGTTCCTCTTTAGTCAGTCACAAGTTCTGATTGGCTGACTTTCATGTAGTTTCCATCAGTTTCAATGAGTACTAATATTTTTTTGTAACTGAAATATTTTCTTTAATCCATCACCATCAGTCTATAGAGTATCGACCGTATACGGTCTGTATTTCTCTTTAAATTCAGGTGTGAAAAGTCAGTGTCATGACTGGAGCTGAGACTGAGGATGATATTCCATTAGGTGAAAGGAAGACTGTCACAGACTTCTGCTATCTCCTGGACAAGTCCAAGCAACTCTTCAATGGGCTACGGTTGGTTGGAATTTACTTTGTTTTCTTCTGTATGCTGGACTGTGTTTTCTACTCTAACATTGGTTTACAGTGCATTACTCTGGTGAATGGGTGCATTGAACCGATACCCCTCAAGAGTGTGTTTTCACTGGATTATTCTGCAGCATTCGGTACCAGTGTAGGAAGTGGTGTGCCCTGTCTGTTAGAGGGGTGGATTGATTTGTAGCTCATGTCAATTTGGAAATTTGTTATTTGATGGCTTAGAAAATGAATACAATGTAAACCATAAACATTTTGGGGTGTTTGCATGGGGTGGCTGTAGCTCAGGAGGTAGAGGTAGACCAGGTAGAGCTGGTCACCTACTGATCGGAAGGTTGGTGGTTCGATCCCTGGCTCCTCCAGTCTGCATGTCAAGTATCCTTGGGCAAGATACTAACTTGCTCTCCGATGCGTCCATCGGAGT